CAGATGCAACACAGTTCCCGCTAGGGATCTCCATTCCTGGGAGGCAGCTTCAGGCCTCATTGAGCTCCCAAGGCTCCTTCCCTGATTCTCACTTCTGAGACTCCTTGTGCATCCTTCCTAGAGACCCATTGTAGCTGACAGTGCGTAAGCTAGATGCTGGCTAGAAAGAAAATCCAAGAGGAAAGTAAGTTACTTTCCCTTCTTGTTCAGGGAAGATTTTTCTTTTAAAGTCTAGAATATGAATATTTGGTTCTATGTCCTAAAATTACAACACTTTTGAACAGAGATGAAGTTTTGGTGATTTTTCAATAAAATGGAAGATACCGAAGCAAAAGCATCCTCCCCCTCCACCATACAAAGCCTTACTTGATTTAACAGTTCAGCTTGAGCCTAAGCAATGTCAGCCTTTGCACATAAACAGATTCCCAGCTCATTTAAGATATGCAATAAATGTGCATGTGGCATTAGATGTCTTTTCTCTAGTAGAAGAGACTATTTTTGAGCATTTTAGCTCAAACATTATTGATTTGTACATTGTCATGTATTATGCTGTGGAAGTAAAAACCAGTTCGTACCATGTAAAATATAAAACATGCCTAATATTACTCATGGCAAGGACTGGTCAGTGCTACCTGCATTGTTATAAATGTGTCTCACTGACTGATGTTGAGATGAGGACAACCACACAAGACACTTCAGCATAGCCTTGGCCGAAATCTATATGCCATAGACAGAATTGTTTGTCTCCAATCAGCAATGAAAATGTAAATACTAAATTATATTAGGAGGTGATATGGTACTTTACATGCAACAACAGAGAGAAGGAAGTGCTGACCACATTAGGTGATTAACAATCAGCCAGCCATCCATTAATTCAACAAGTATTTACTGAATACCTACTAGGTACCAGATATTGTTCTAGACATCAGGGTAGAGTGGTAAATAAGAGACAAGTTCCCCTTTCTCACGGAGGTTACATTTTAAAGTAAAAAGACAGACAACAAACTGACAGAAACAAACAAGAAAAGACCCAGTGATAAATATAAGGATGAAAAACAAAACTCTAGGCTCTGTGATAGCAACTGGGTGGTCAGGTTCAGCTTTTCTGAGGCTTTGGCACTCAAGCTAAAATCTGGATGACAAGAAGAAAACTGCCACATGAAGATCTGGGGGGAGCGGGTCCCCACAGAAGACAGAGCAGGGCAATGAGGTTGTCGTGTGAGAGGAACAGAGCGAAGCCCCTGAGGCTCATCAGGGGACCGAGGAACAGAAGGAGCTGGAAAGGGCACCAGTATCAGGTCAAGAGCTAGGATGGCGACAGAAAAATAGGGTTTAAAGATGGAATAAAACATGAAATAGAAGGAATATTGGAAACAGATGATATAAAAATATAAGATAGAGACTTTGGAAAAATTCAGCTTCCTCCAGGCATGATTTTCCTATGTCTTACTAGTGTGAGAACCATCTCTAATAAAGCCAATCCACAGCACCTTTCTTTATTTGTTTTGCAATGAAGAACAAGGCACTTTTCGTTCTTTTAAGAATCTCATGCCCCACTACAGTGTCTACAACTTACCAGTTTTCCCTTGATTACCAACATAATACATGTTTATGATGGAACATTTGGAAAATACAGATAAGCTAATGGAAGAAGTAAGATCACTCCAAACCCAGCCTGCCAATATAACTGCTGTTAACAGATTCTCTTTATGCTTATAAATTGCAGTAATTCAGAATATGGGCCCTGGAGTCTGGGTGAAAACCATGCTTAGAAACTTGATAAATGAGTGTTACTCATTTTTCAGTTGATCGTAATTGCTTATAAAATGCTATAGAAATGTCTGAAATCTCTTTAAACCTCAGTTTTCTCATCTGCAAAACGGGAATAGTAATGTTACCTTCTTCATAAGACTACTATGAGGATTAATGAGATCATCCACATAATTCTCCTGACTGGCACACCATATGCACTTTAACATGTTAGGCATTATGCCATTTTCATTTTACAAAGTTGGGATCATATTGTAAAACTGTCAGTAAAATACATTATTATTCCAATCATCACTGGACATTTTTACATGATCTTAAATATTTTCCATAATGTAGTTTTTAATGGTTACACAGCATTTTACTATAGAGATATAATTTAGCTAATTCTCTATTCTGGGACACTTAAGCTGATTCCAAATTTTCACTATTTAAAAAATTATTGTAAAATTTCACGCTTATTTCTCTAGGATAAATTCTGAGTGGCTGGGTCAAAGGCTGGGTCATGTATACTTTGATGCCTTTCATCATATCCTCTCCATGAACTAGATTATACCCTTGGATAAGAATAATGTTAGGAAGTAAATAGTCCACATACATGTGAAGTTTTGTAGGTCTGATTTACCATCAGCTTAGTGAAATACTCCCCTCTATCCCCTGCCTTTTTTCTCCACACCTGTTCATACCTTCTGGTCAGCAACATCTTCCCTCATTCCCTAAGAAAGCTTCTCAGTTCCAGGCTTCCAGATGAGCCAATCTGCTTACAATTTTCTGATTTGCTGGGGATTCTTTACTTACAAATTCATTTCCCTTGAAGCCATAAACTCATAGGATTTTAGTATATTAGAAATCCAAGCCCCTCATCTCACAGATGAGGAAACTAAAGTTGACGGAGCAAGTGATTTGTCCAAGTTGGTCCTCTGGTCCATGCTGTTAGACAGCTAGGCTGGGTTGGCTCATTTCTTTATCTCTAATACCTAGTTCAGAAGTTAGCACATGCAGACAGTCAGTGTTTGGTGAATGAATAACTACTTGAAGTGACTTACAGCCCCCAAGGATTCTAAACTGGAAAGGACCATAGAAGTGTGGAAACTGAAGCCCATATTGGTTGATGAAATGTATGTTGTCATTTAGCTATTAGTGATAAGTTGGAATAACACATCAGTTTCTCAATTCCCAGGAGAGACAAGGAGAAGCCAAGAGAAGGCTTTGTGGGGTCAGGTGGACATCATGTAGAGAAGGGATTAAACTAATTCTGCCTTGTTCCAGAGAGCAAAGCCAAGACAGAGAAATGGAAGTTGCTGGTAGGCCAATTTCAGCATAATACATGGAAGAGCTTTTTAATGGTTAGTACTATCCAAAATAGAAACAGATTTTCTAGAAAAGAAGTTGCCCCTAATTTGAAGTATTCAAATAGAAACAGGGTATGTTTGAATAAATAATTTGTTAAGTGTGTTTGAAAAGAAACGAATTTTGTTCTATGTGCCTGGTTGGGATAGATAACTACTAAGGCCTCTCCAAAACTAAGGTGAAATGATTTTATGAACATATGTACACATACACACCAATGGATAAATGAATAATTTTTTCCTTATTGATATGTTATTTTGTAATTAGGTCTTTTGAGTTGAACCCATTGTGTTTCTCATTGTAAATGGGACCAGATAAATTCTAATGTCTTTACTGACCCAAGATTCTATGGTTCTAAATCATCTTTTTGGTGATAATTCAGTGTGCTACACATAGTAGGAATTCAAAAGATGAATTTAAATTAGCTCTTAAGTCTGGAAAAATCTACATTTAAGATAAATTGAGTTACAGGCTCCATGAGTTGAACAATTTGATTGCACTCAGCTGGTCTAAGTCAAATATATCAATTGATCACATTCAAGAACACTAATGCATTAACTTTTTTTAAACTAAAAAGGGATAAAATTAAAAGAAGAAATTTGGTGAATTGTATTGTGATGAGATAAAGTTGTTCTTATTGGATTGATGAATGATGATATTAAATTATGGCTAGAATTATTTCCTAGACTATAAAACCTTTCAATATGAAACTGCAAATATGATTTAATTGCACTTCAAGTATGGAGTTACTGAACGACTGCTCATAGTATAATAATTTCATCCAAATCCTAGTGGTAAGATAGCCACATAAATGAACCATATCACAGGAATATTTTAAATTTTCAAGATTTCAAATCATTGATGGAAATAGAGATCCTAAAATATTCATACTTGGGTTTGGTGAAAAGCTCTACTCTTACATAGCAATCTAGCAAAGCTTTGATGAGTATCATAGATGGTGTCTGTAATGTACTCTTTGTGATTCCAACCAGGGAGGAAATTGATAAAAAGACAGCAAAGGTTGCTTCTTTGGGGGCTTCTCTTCCTTCTTTCCCCTTTTCTTCCTCTTTCTGTTTATGCTTTTCTTATTAGGAGGCTAAAAAAAAGGGGGGTGCCTGGGTGGTTCAGTTGGTTAAGCGTCCAACTTCAGCTCAGGTCATGCTGTCACATTTTCTGAGTCTAAGCCCTGCGTCAGGCTCTGTGCTGACAGCTCAGAGCCTAGACCCTGCTTCAGATTCTGTGTCTTCCTCTCTCTCTGCCCCTCCTCTGCTTGCTCTCTGCCTCAAAAATAAATAAACATTAAAACAATTTTAAAAAAGAAATAAATATTCAAATGAAGCATTTCATTTGATTTATCAACATTGCCATTGTTTTGGACAATCTTAATAGTAAAAATTTATGACTCGAGTCAAGATGGGATATCCACTGGCTAGAATATCTCATAGAATACTTAAGCCTTGCTTTTTGCCTCACTCAGTTAGAAAAATGTATATTTCAGGAGGAACATGAATTTCTCTGCCTTTCAGACATTGTGCTGGATGCTAGAGAGACAGAAATATCAAGCATGAAACTTGGCCACACAGAGGCATAGCAAATTCATTGCATAGGTTCATCATGGAACACAGATGAGGCTCAGAGATCTTTCTGACCCAGGACTTCAGACAGATTGTTAAGCTATCACAGAATTGGCACAGGAATTAGCATTTATTAGTCATCCAAGTCAGAAGTTCTCTGGTAACAAATCTTATTCTAATAATCATTATCATGGTTACTTCGTGTCATTAAAGTAAGACTCATTTCATATGTATCCTGCTGAAGTCTGAGTTTTTGAATTCCACTCCCAGCAACATGAAACAGAAAAAATAATTTAAAAAGAAAGTTACCTCCACTGCTGCTTTTGCCCTTTCAAATTCTTCTTCCAAGGAGTGGTTTCTGGAAAGTAATGCACTTCCCCAGCGCTGTTCTTTGGTCAATCGAGCCTGAAATAAACCAAATGCATGGTGTTATACTACTAGAATTACTGAATACAAAAGTACAAATATTTTTCCTTTTCTCATATTTCCCTACAGTTTAAGAAGCATCTGCAAAGGATGCTATTTTTGGAGTACTTTGCAAGCATGATGTTACCCAAACTGGGATGGTACCAAAATGTGTATGAGCCTGCATGCATGATTCTTCTAAGAGTGGGTCTTAGCCCTGGTCATGTTAAAACCAAAGCCCAGGCCCAGTCTCCCAAAGATCTTACTTTCATTGGTCATGGTTCTAGGCATTGATATCTTAGTAGCCTTCCAATAGGATTCTAATATGCAGCTAAGATGGAGAATCTCCATTAGAAGCCTAGACCTAAAAACTGATATTCAGGCTTCCAGTTAGTTAGGACTAGCTTCGGGTAAAACTAAGCTGCAGAGATGGAAGGTGCTGCTAGACCTTTTTCCTTACATACACAGCAGATCGTCATGGTGAATTCTCTTTCCTTTGCCTTCCCTCTATTGGCACACATCTGCCTCATGACCAGTATCATCAGGACATTGCTCTGTTAAGTGGTAGTCACTTAGATAAGATCATGTTTGTTAATGTCAACAAGTTTGTCACAATTAACAGACATTGTGAAAGACATCTTCACTTAGCTAAATGCAAATATTCAGAAGACCAGCCTCCAGCCCCACAAAGATCTGCTGGAATTTTTAAAATGTTGCTAATTAAAAAAAAATTTTTTTTTAACGTTTATTTATTTTTGGGACAGAGAGAGACAGAGCATGAACGGGGGAGGGGCAGAGAGAGAGGGAGACACAGAATCAGAAGCAGGCTCCAGGCTCTGAGCCATCAGCCCAGAGCCCGACGCAGGGCTCCAAGTCACGGACCGTGAGATCGTGACCTGAGCCGAAGTCGGACGCCCAACCGACTGAGCCACCCAGGCGCCCCTAAATGTTGCTAATTTTTAATTTCACAAAAACTAAATACATTCTTTTTGAAAAAAATTAATGTTTTCAGAATCATGGAAAATAAGAGGTGTACCTCTAGAACTTCTTGTTGGTTGCATATATATTTATGTACCCTAGACAGTAACGTGTTACAAAAATTTTGGCGACATCAAGGGTATGCTATTCTGTAGCTTACTTTTCTTCATTCAACAATATATCTTGGAGAGTGTCCATATTTAGTATTTATAGATCCACTCTATTCTTTCCCAGGGATTTCCTAGTAAAGTATATACTGTGGTTTGTTCAGACCTTTCCCCACGAGAACTCAGGGTGTGATTTTTTTTCTCCATGTAATTGCTTATTTTCTTGTCTATCTTTCTGCTACACTGTGTGATCCATGAGGGTAGGATTTTGTCTGCGAACTTTTGTTCTCCCCTGTACCCAGCCTAGGGCCTGACAAGTGATGTATACCCTAAAGATGCCTACAGACTGCAGGATGAGGGACTGTCCTGATAAAGCAGCTAGACCTTGGGGAACAGGAAGAGGGATGCTTGTGGAATGAAGCTCTCTACACCCTTTTATTGCCTTTTACCCAGGTGTTTGATTACTCTTCTTTAGAGATGCTCAACCTTGGCTTCTATGGGGGTTACTTGAACAGGCCTGGGCCCCACCCTAGACCAGTTAAAGAATTTCTGGGGGTAGGGTCTGGGCACTAAATGTTTAAAAGCTCTTTTGGTGATTTTGAAAAGCAGTCATGTATGAAAACCATTGTTCCACAGCAAAACGTTGCCCTTCACTGAGCACTTACCATCTATATAGCTCAGCTGCTTTTCATTTTTTTCTCCATCATTGCTGGTTCTCAAGAGGACCCCTACCCCCTTATTATCACACAGTTGTAATACCAGAGCTCACTACATGCCAGATGCTGCCTCAAGTCCTTTAGATACTATAACTCACTTTGTCTTTTCAATAACCTGTGAAGTAGGTATTATCACCAACTCCATGAAATTGAAGCACAGAAAGTGAATTAACTTGCCCAACATCACACAGCTAGTAAGTGGTAGGGCTGATGTTCTGAGCCATGTTCATAACTACTGCACTATACTGCCTCTCACAGGAGGCTGTGCTCATGAACCTCTCAGAGGTTCATGCACGGTTGAGGGAATCAACCAAGAAGTCCTCAAGAATATAGTGGGCTGAAAACAATAATGATGTAATTGTTATGCACAAGTAAATTGTTATGCATAAATAACAGTCTGTGTTTCGCACTAATGAACAAGGAAGGTTAATTTATTGGAACCTTAATTCATGTTTTCTCCTCGATATATTCACTGCTGTGTCCCTGGTATCTCCTACAAACAGTAGCTGCTCCATAAGCAGTCAGTAAATACTTGTTGAAGATATGCTGTTGGAGAATATGTGAATGAATTACTTAAAGGTATTTCTCTTCCCTACTCTCAGAACACTATGTGTTCTCAGTCAAGGTTTCTTGGTAAATCTAAGAGGCTAAGGGGAACTTGTAGGAAATTGAGAGGGGACTTATTTTTTGGTTCTGTGCCTGGAGTGGCAGAGGTCTGTGTTAGCAAGGCCCTGTGCCCTGATTCTCGGGAAGGGGAATGACTGCAGGGTGCCTTAGCAGAACACCTAGTAAAGAGCTAGGCCTGTTAGCAACACAGAGGTAAGGCCTCTGGAATAGTGTGTGTGGTCAGAAGAGGGAGGGCGATGAGGACACATCCAAGTCTGCATGGGCATCAGTGCCTCATTCTCAGGTGGGCCAAGCTCAATGACCACCATGAACAAGCTCCTTCTCTTGTTCTCTGGGCCTTGTGAAAGCTACTACTTTCTCTCAACCCAGATAATTGAGGCAGGGCTGGGGGCAGAGAGCTCCAAAAACATAAGTGGGATTGACTGTCACAGGTTCCAGAGATTAGGATGTAGACACAGATCTTTTGGGGACAGCTGTTCATCCCGCTACCACCCTTATCTGACACTCTTGGGTCACAATACATTTCGGTCACTTTACAAATATAAAGGTGCAGATGGTTTGCAAATTTTTAAAACTGGTAAGTCGTTAGGATGGTATAGCCTGGTAACAAAGTTAACACCAAAGATGATATGATCTTATTGTCTTGTAGAAAGTTAACCAATCTTATATCAAACTTGGAAATCTTTTTCTGGCATTTCTTTCCCAACCATTTCTGTTCCTTTACTTTGGAACTAACTCTTTTGTCTTCCTGCTGGTTCCCTCATTAATGAAATAAATAAATAAATTTTAAAAATGTGGACACATGGTGAGAAATAAGCTGTGTATTTATATAATAATGTCATAAATGACCCATGAATGGAATGAGAAGAAAGAGAAAGCACTAATATTTTTGTCCCAAGGCATCTCCTTTTATTAGAGGCACTTTTTACCAGTGAAATATGATCTGTCTTGCCTGTGAAGCCTGACCTAACAGAACTCCATTACTGTCACTGGCTTCCCTTCATCAATGTTTCACGACCCAAGTGGATTATGAATCACAGGACGCAAAGGGCACCATATATCAGGAAGAAGAGGCAAAATCTCTCTCTCAGGATTCTAGACTTACAGTTCATATTCTCTTTGCCGCTTAAAACAGCAAGTGTAAACAGAATCCTACTGTGCAAATGAAATTTTATTTCAGTAGTACAGTTACTATTTAGGTAAGTGCTATTTTCCACCTAGTTAGAAAGGCCTTAAGTCATTACTAAGACAAGTTATTGTCTACCTCACATTTTAAAGCCATTTATTTTGTCCAAGGAAGCTAAGCTAGATGTTATAAAATATAGAAAAACACTGCAAACAAAGGCAGTTTTCAAGCCAAGAGTAATATGCAACTAAAAAGGTTCTGAAACTTTTCAGCCCCCAGACATGCTAGTTTAGGATTGACAGTGAAATACAGATTCTAACACCTAAAGATCAGCCTTTCTTTCAACCAAGACTTTTTTTTTTTTTTTTTTTTTTTTTTTTTTTTTTTTTTTTTTTTTTTTTTATCTAATTTCTTTACAGGCAAAAAACTGTCGTCTGGGAAAACAGATAAGCAATGCTGGTAAGCTGCAGATATTGTTTAGTACTTGACTAGAGGAATGGTCAGCAAAACAATGATAGCCATAAATTTGAGTTGTGGCTGTTTTGGTATCACAGTGGCTATATTAGTAGTTCTCAAGCTTGAGTGGGCATCAGAATCATTTAGAAGTCTTGTCCAGACACAGATTGCTGGGACCCACAACCAGGGTTTCTGCTTCAGTACGTGTAGGTGTGGGAGTGGGGGCCAGAATCTGCATTTCTAACAAGTTCCCAGGTGATGCTGATACTGCTGATGTAGGGCCCCACGATGAGAACTTCTGATCAGATGCTGACATTCCGTGTAGGCTAGTGGAACTCCGGAGTTTACAAATATACTCTGATGTCGGCATTACTTTGCATCATCGCATGATTTTGAAAAATGCTCCACAGTTACAACAACCTCCTGGAAGTGCCTTGGCTTTAAAAATAGTATTTTAATTGGTTTAAGCTAATTGGATTTTAAGGTATTACACTCTCTAAAGAAAAAGGATTTTTTTTTTTCTCCCAGCTGCTGTTTGTTCTGAATGATAAGCACTGGGTGAAGGATAAGAAGAATTAAATAACTCTTTAAGAATATTGTTTTATTCTCTTTATTCAAAATTATGATTTGAAAATTACTGTATTTGTAGCTGTGGTTGTCCTAGCATAATAACCGTTGGCTAACCTCTATGTCAGTCTTTTGTAACTCCTTATACAATTGCCTTTACATTACTGCTAGAGATTTCCTAGCAAAACACAGTTTTAAAAATCTCAGTATCTTTTCAAAAGAGATTGATGGGGAATGGGAGCTGCTTAACTGTAGAAAGGAAAAATATCTTATAACAACTAGCAGACTTTGGGTAACAGCATAACACAGTATTTAAAAGCATAATCTTTGGAGTCAGACTGCTTGGGGCCAAATCCTGGTTGGATTTAATAGTAACTGGTGACCTTGGACAAATTACTTAATCTCTATAATCCTCAGTATTCT